CTATCGTGCAGGCAATGGTTTTCCCTGTGACATTCAATGAAAGTGAAACTTGTATTTGAAGAAGCAGGATAGAAAAGGCATTGATGCTTTTGAACGTTAGGGCTGGACAAAACTCTTGACAATACCACGGATAACGAAGAAAGCAATCAAATGGATTAGAGACCAAATCTAGCTGGAGTTCTCATTTGAGACACAGATGACCAGGCTCAAATTATCATATGTTAGCAAAGACCCAGCCCCTCTGAGAAGCTGGGAAAGGTGGAAGGAAAGAAAAGAAGAGGATGACTAGCAGCAAGGTGGATGGACTCAGTTACAACAGTAATGAGTACACTATTTGCAGACTTGAAGGACCAAGTTAGGGACATATCATCCTGAAGAAGGTCTATCTTTGTGATCATTAAGTGTCAATCCCAACTTGATGGCACATAAAAAAAATCAATAAATATTTAATGTGATTTCTGCCTGGTAATATATTTAATAGTTTTCTCTGTGTGTGTGTGTGAATGTGTGTGTATGTATGTGTGTGTGTATGTGTGTGTTTGTATGTATATGTATGTATGTATGTGTATGTATGTATGTATGTGTGTATGTATATGTATGTGTGCGCGCACACACAGATACATACACATACACCTTCCAGTCAGTCTTGACTCCTGGCAACTGCCTGGACAAGTCCCTGCAGCTTTCTTGACAAGATTTTCTGAAGTGGTTTGCCACTGCCTTGTTCCAAGAGCTGAGAGAGAAGGACTGGCCAGTTTGCTTTGTGCCTAAGGTGGGACTAGTTCTAGCCCTGTGCTTTTAACCATTACAGCAAAATGGCTTGGTCACTTTCAACATTATAAATTTATAATTTGGAAATTATAAAATTATAATTTGGAAAGACTTTCTGAAGATTTGTAGTGGATGCACCCAAAGTTTTCAAAGGCTATCTACTACCTTGGAATTTCAGTTGTGTGTGGGACTAATGTTTTTGAAAACTGAAGTGCTTTTGAGTGTTTAGCATTTCAACATTATACTCAATCATTTTAAGATAAATCATGCCTTTATTTTCCAGCTGGAACATTTAAGGAGTTCACTAAATGCTGACAGTGGATTGACATTGGCGGAAGAGGGTATAATCAAGTGTCTAAGTGATGAAAAACATTTTTTAAAAGTTGGTTTTGAAAAAGTATCATTAGTTCTAGTATCATTAACTGGGATATACAGGTCACCGTTTTTATATAAAAAGAAATCACAGCATCCCTGTTTCAGAATCGGGGAAGAGCTGTGATCTTTAAAAACTCTCTTATCTTACCCTCTCTCCTCTAGGCGGTTTGATTTCAAGACCTTTGCTGTCTGCCATATCCACAGCATCTATTTATCTTTTATTAATGGTAAGGCTTTTTTTTAAAAAAGAAAAGATGTGAACTCAGTGATGATAACCTTGTTTCACAGAGGTGCTTTTGAGCTTTAGTCTCTGTAGTAAATCTCAAAATTCCAGTAACATGTGATATTCTTAATAGGACAACGGTGCTAAGTTAAGCTCTTAACTGTTATGGCCAAGCCAGCAATTGCCTATTACAGATCCCTAACTCTTTGAGTAATGATTAGAGCACATCCTAGGGCTGAAAACAACTAAGCTTAAAATCCATTCTTTCCATGAAGCTCACCTAGTAATCTTAGGTCATTCACTTTCTCTCATCTTAACCTGCCTCACAGAGTTATCATGAAGATAAAATGAGGGGAGAGCAATCACTTAAGTTCCTTGGAGGAAAGTGAGATAAAACATTAATGGTGTGAGGTGAACATTCGTTCTTTGGGAGTGGACTTATGGATTTGGCCACAATCTCAGTGTTTACTCTCCCTGCACCTTCTCTCCATTACCTCCCTTAAGTGGAACTATTGATATCATTATGTTCAACAACAAAACCCACAAGAAGAGGCCAGCTTTCAGCTCAGATGGAAACAACCGTTTGAAACAGAAGTTTCTGAGTTCCTAAATGTCTGATTCAACGGTTGCTTCATTTCATAAACTGCTTGAGATGGCTATCAGTTCCTGGGAAAAGTTGAATCCATGGCGCAACAGAGTTTCCCTCAAACTGCAGTGGGACTATAGAACTAGAAAATGGAAGACCCACATCAATCCCTAGTTAGCGCAAGGAGGTTTGTTCCCAATTTCTCTACCAATTAATCCTTTCTTTCTGTCCTGCTGAAGGAGGTAGAAACCCAAGTATTTTGCTATCAGCTATCAGTGGGCTCTATATTCATGTGCCTTTCAGCCCCTCATGGCTGAGCTATTTTATACCATTTAATTAAGCAGATAGGTGCCAAGAACACCTCTGTCTGGTCTCTGTCGTCTTGTAGGACCCCATCAACTTCATCTTCCAGATCTGCATGTGACATTAACATGCAGATGTTTAAAAAGACATAAAGTGCATCTACTGACAGGCTGAGAATTAAGAGGACTAGATCAGAAAAGCAAGCGGAATTTACCTCTCTCCTTTCCTTCTGCATTTTTTTAAAAAATGCTTTATCTGCAGCTAGTTGTACAGACAGGAAATTCCCTTCACCCGCCAATGCAAATATGCACTTAGATACATACATGTTTACATATGTATCCTTCCTGTTATCCCTGGCAATCCTTTGAGTTCTTAGCAAACAACACAGCATTGGCTGTATAGAAAAATACATATACATTCCCACCAAGGCAGCTCTAGCACCCCAAGAGCATTCCTCATATATTTTTCCAAAAATACACTGAAGAATCAAGAGGACATCAGACATCCTTTCTGTATTCCCTGCTCAATGCCAAACCATTGAGCATTTCGTTTAGTTTCACATATGCTTTATTTCCATCCTATACAGTACCATTCTTATTGCGTTCGGCAACCAATCTTCAACTCTGTATTTACACAAAATACTCCTTAATGCAAGGCTCTTCACTTCATCAAACACTTTTTCTAAATCAACAAATAAGCCTACTTTTTCACATTCATGTTTTTCCGTGATCTATTAAAGAGCGAAACTCTCATCTGCGCGTGCCCTGCCTGGCATAAAGACTCACTGCACTTCTGACATTTTGCTCAATGTTATCTGTGGTACATTTTCAATCTGTTAAACCCTTTCCCAAACAAATATCACTGCATTTTCTGTATTCACTCTTGCTATGGGAAACAATAATAGTATTCTTCCACTCTTCAGGCAGAGATGCATCCTGCAAACACGTTAAACAAATTGCACTGTTACTCCATACACCAACCTCATCCATTATAGACAGGGAACCATTTCTCTAACTTAGCATTTCTCAACCTTGGCCATTTTAAGATGTATGGACGTGAACTCCCAGAATTCTGGGAATTGGAGTCCACACATCTTAAAATGGCTAAGGTTGAGAAACACTGCTCTCACTGCACTGCCTTACAATATTCCAGTATTTCTGAAAATACTGGCTGGAGTATTCTGGGAGTTGAAGTCCGCACATCTTAAAGTTGCTGAGGTTGAGAAACACTGCCATAGTTCAACTTTCTCACAGCATTTATGGCTCACCACTCATCATTTTATGGCAGTCATTTAATTCCTACTTTTCATCATTCCCACACAATAATAAAATATTTCTTCCAGCATTCCCTCATTTTGGTTTGACCCCAAATAATTTCATCACTTTTATTTTTAATTCAATTCCCTCTGCTGGAGGCATCACCAACTTCCAAAACAAGTTTTTATTTCCATCAAAATTCTCTGCATTTCCTCTGCCACTTATTGTTACATTTTTTGGGCCTTACTTTACATTGGCACTCACAGTTGTGTGTTGCAGAAGTAGCACAAGCCACCTGTTTTAATGTGCCCTAAGGGTGAAGCCAAATACACTAGAACAAATAACATGATTCTCTTTTTATAACTTTTAATTATGTATTTATGATTTTAATTTGATGTAAACCGCC